GTATAAAAATTGATTTAAGTGGTATATATTGTAGTTGTATATAACTGAGTAGAAATAATGTATGAAAATTGTAGATAAGTTGTATAATATATAATTAGTTGTATGAAATTTATTTTTACTATGTATAAATCAGATACAAAATATACAAAAGACATATTGTATAAATTTTGCATAAAATTTGTATTTAAGTTGTATGTTATTGTAGTTGTATTTAACTTGGTAGAAATAATGTGTGAAAGTTGTAGATAAATTATAGATAATGTATGGGTCAGAATCCAATCCCACGATAATTAACGAAGCTAATCCCGTCTTAAGCTAATTCATGATTAATTAGTGGTACGACCACTCAGAATTAACGATATTCAACCCTCGTCTGATTCGAGCAACAAGGCCACGGCCCATCCGCCACCATGAAGGCGAAATCCCAACATGGTCACGGCCACTTATTGCCAGCTCACGAAGCTCACAGCTATAAATACCAAGAGAGGAAACCCTAGAAAAAAGGGGGCTTCTTCTTCGCCACTATGGACGAGAGAAAAAAGAGACAACGATACCCATATTATGGGCAAGAGGAACACCATTGTAAGGCTCTGAACCTCTTCATGGAGAGGCAGACCAAACCAATATTATCAATTAAGGCTTCTAATGTTTCTCCCCCTAACCCTGAGTACTTATTTTCGTTTCCTTCATTTGGTCCAACGGATTATTACGGTTTGCTATGATTTTTCCGTGATTTATTTATATTGTTTTATACTCATAAGGTATGCGATAACTTTTGAGCAAACAATTAATAAATTTATTCCAGCACAGCTATGGGCACTTGACGTGTAACAATCCCATTGGTCATTTGCTGACTGGATGGACACGTCTGTCAATGTGTAATACACGCGCGTAAGGTCAATGGTCAAAGGTGTTTATTAGTTATAGGTTTCACGAGTTTGAGTGTTTAAATAGGAAAGATTAAAGTTTGTGTATCGGCTTTCAAAAGCCCTACAAGTTTAAGTGGCCAGGAAGTCATTTCGCCTTAAAAAAAAAAATACTAGTAGCACATTTTGTTTAGCTAACTCCACAATCTAACGGAGACATCCTACTTCAACCCGCATTATCCAAAATACTATACACTGTTTGGGTGGGCTTATTTTAAGTGACTTCAAGTCAAAATAGCTTTTAAACCATATTAAGAAATTCTAGCTTTTGACTTTTTACTTGTTTTTGCGATTTTGGCTTAAAAATAAGTGTTTAAAAGCATTTTTTTTACTCTATCCAAACACTACAAAATGACTTAAAAGTTATTTTGGCTTAAAAATATTGAAAATAAGCCTATCCAAACGGGCACTTAGTAACAATAAATAGTGAAATAACACAATATCTTCCAACACAATATCTTCCCCTCTCTTTTAACCTCCCGCGCTGCGCCCCACAAAATATGAATAGTCCAACACTTCGAAAACAAAAACTTACAAGAATTTTGGTACTATTAGGCCTGTTTGGCCATAATTTTTTGTTTTTTAACCTTTTTTCAAAAAAAATTCGCTTCTTTTTTGAAATTACTGTTTGTCCATTAAATTTTTAATTTTTACTTGAAAATAAATTTTGTAATCACTCAAAAAAATTCAAAAACAACCAAAAATTATATTCATGACCACTCTAATTTTCAATACCATTTTTATTTGAATTTTTTTTTCTACTTTTTTCCGGAATTTATAAGGAAGTCATGAAATTGTGAAATATGTATTTCCTCAAAGAAGACTTTTTTTTTCCTTTCGTTTCTGGCCAATTGGCTCAAGTAGAAGGAGCATAAATGAGAACAAAAAAAATGAACAAGACGCAGGATGTACACTAACTAAATCTCCATCTAAAGCCACTTAACAAAATACAGTGTGAAGGCGGAGAAATATGGGGTCCTAACAATCTGTCATTACCAGCATTGATCCGTTTCCCATCTCCGGGTCGGATAAAACTCCGACCTACTGATACGAAATCCATTGGAAGAGTGCCCAAAACCTCGCCGACGAGAGCCTACGCTTAACTTGAGATCGTACAGCGCCCTGGAAGAAGGATCAGAGAGCGTGGCATAAGCGTCGTGAATCTCAATGAAATTCAGGCCGTCGGAAGATTCCTCCGGCAGAGAAGCAGCATCGGGATGGTACAGTTTAGCCAAATTCCGGTAAGCAGCCTTAATCTCTTTCGCTGAAGCATCTCTTTTAACCCTTAACACCTCATAGAGACTCGCCGGTCTTGTCCTCTTCAACGCCGGCGGAGCCTCGGTAACGGCGGAAGCACATATCGATAGTCTCTTATTATTCTTCCCAATGTACGAAACACGGCGGTGAGTTCCAAATGCGGCGGTGGAAGAGGAGTTATGAACGGAAAAGGAAAAGGAAAAGGAAGTTGGGGAAACTAGGGCTAGAGATTGGACCATTGGAGAATTATGATTTTTTCAATTTGTCAAACGAAAATGCTGAAAGCAGAGTGAGATACATAGAAAAAAAATTTGTGGGTATAATTTAAAGAAAAACTGAGAAAAGAGGTTTTTATTTTATATAAAAAATGAAAAAGTCTAAGGAGGGAATCTTTAAACCCGAGGACGGCGTACCCACCGTTTTTTTAGATTACAGTTGCAAAATGGAAGACTGTGTGCTGACGAGGCATTTTTCTTATGCCTTCTAGAAGATTGGGAATAGTAGATTTAAAACTACTGATACAGATGGAGCTGTTGAGTTATTAAAGATTATGGCCTCCAAATGCTTAGCGTACAAGGCCTAATCTAGGTATTTTATACTATCCCGTTCCAATTAATATAAAGGTATTTGACAAAATTTAAGAAATAAAGGAAGATTTGATTTTTAAAATTTATGGTCTAAATAATAAAAATTTATGTGATTATAAATTATTTTATTAAAAGTAAAAAATAAAATTTAAAATTGAATTGTTACTGAATATAAAAAATATTATTATTTTCTAACCGAATAAAAAAGAAAAAATGTCACATAAATTGGAACAGAGAAAAATATTATATATATACCAACTGAAAGCGTATAATCAAATGTGATCAGCTCAAACCATTTCTTATTGTAACTGGGTTACAATTTTCTCTCAATTGGTTGATACTTTGTTTATATTTTTTATTAGGATACACAGCAAACTTTTTGTCTTTTAACTATACTTGCAAATAACTAAGTTGACTGTTAAGCTAAAATTTGACTGATTAATTTGGAATTAGCCTGTTTTGAACTATCTTTAGCTATATCTCTCATTCAATCGTCAAACTTTGACATGATTCATAACTAAAGGGGTGAGAAGTGAGTCTGTTCAAGGATGGAGGGCTAGAAAAAGAACAGCACACTTCTGTCTCCCATTTTCAATAAAATAATGTACTACTCCATTAAAATGCATACTCCACAGTCCCCTCAATCCAGTTTATGTAAAAAAAATTAAAAAAAATATTGTTCCAAAATCTTTTGTAGCCACACAAAGTCACAAATATTGGCATGTTTAAAATTTCAAATTTCAAAGTTTTATAACCATAAAAATATTATAACATGTTTAAGGCTAAGTGTCAAAAGCTTTTTTTTTCCCTCCTAAACTCCGTATCCAATTACACATGATCACATAAAAGAAAACAAATAGAATATTAATTAATAAATATATAATCATAATTAAGTATTAGATGTTTATATGTAAATATAAATTATGAATGTGATAATTTAGTGTAAACATTAAATGGGGATAGATTTTTCCTCCCTTTTTGTGTCTGGCCTGCTGTCTATACTCTTTAAAAACAGAGGAAATGGTTCAAAACTGTAACTAACAGATTGCAAGTAGAAAACTGTGGTAACAAATCACAAGCTCACCGTCATTTCTCACGTGGCTATGCTTCTAGAAGCCATTCTCTTCCACTCCACGACGAAAAGATCCAGAACCTCCCCCCCCCCCCCCCCCACTAATTTGGAGAAAAGTCACTGTCGTTCTTCATTGACTGTTGACGTCCCCTTCGATTTTTATACAAACAAAGGTCTCCGTAGGGTTTGATTTTTGAAGGTTGGACCCTAATTTTAGCGAATTCTTCTATATTTAGCTTTGTATTATAATTGCATTTAAGCAAGGATAAGGCTTCTAGAAACAACCCTTTAAACCATTTCTATATGAAAAACAAGAATTAATATATAACCAACAAAAATAGCAGTAATGAATTATCTAATGTGTCTGTGATAGTCATGCTTTACCACTATCACAAATTGTTTGACTCAAAAAATTTGAAATCTTTTCTGGACAAATCAATCAAAGATGAAGGGGTAAATCGTAGCCAAGCCTAATCAATATCGGATCGAAGGATCGTATGATAGCAATTAAACACTAAATGAATCTAGAATCGAAGATCTTATTAAAATTGAATACTGTTCATCTCCCTCCAAGGAGGGGGGGGGAGGGGAGGAATTACAATCACCCCTTCATTTAGGGATCTCCGAATGTAGCTTTTTGGGAGCTCTCTAGTCATCAGAGAGTCGGGGGGGGGGGGGGGGGGGTCTTTTACGTCTCCCCGTTTTACTCACGTATATATAGTTGAAATAATTCTCTTGCCCCTGCTGCGACTTTGGCGTGCCTAGGGCAACGAGACTTCCTGGTCGTGGAAAGATACTGCTCTTGTCGTCATGCCGAATGCGTTAAGAGGAGGGATTAGATTAACTCCTACTTTCTTCTTAGCGACAAAAATGTGGTCGTGACCGCCTAGGTCGAAATAGTCAGATTACGACCAATACAGTTAGTCCCTCCGTTCGTTGGGGTCGTGCCTAATCGGTCCCGACGGACGGAACATGTGTGCGACTTAGTCGAGAGGAATCTGACCCCCCCATTCTGTCCTTTAGTCGCGCTCTGCAAACTTATTGAAATAATGGCCTGTCTGAGCTTGATCGAGGTCGATACATTCCGTTTCGCAGACGGCAAAGGCTCTTGGCCTTGAGGGTGTTGCTTTGAGCTTATTGAAATAATGGCCCGTCGTGATTCGAACAAGGTCGAATCCCGCTTTTATTTCAATGGTGAAGGCTCTCGGCCTTAAGGACGATATTTCTGCCTTATCGAAATAATAGCTCGGCGTATTTCGGAGGGTATGGGAATGTTTTCTTGGTACTCATGCGCCGTTACGACGGTTTCAAAATCAAAACGCCGGTTGGTAAATGAATCGTTGCTTCGTGCCCACCGTTATTATAGCACACGTTTTAGAGGAACTGAAACGTTTCGCGTCCTGTCGAATTCGGATGGCGACTCTTGGGTTTCAAGCTCGGGGAATTTGTGTCTATTATAAATAGAGAAGTCTTGTCATCTGCCCCTCACACTTCAGTGTTCATTTTCAGGGAATTCCCCAGATATCTCCTTTTCTGATATCTCGATTTCTCGCTTGCTTTCTTGCTTATCGCAATCCCTAATCTCCTCACTTCCCCCGGAGAGTTTTTGCTTTTGGCTAGAAATGGCTGGTGACTCCTCCCGTGACAATCTTCCTGTTGCCCCGCTGAGAACCTTGTTCCGTCCACCGGAGAGGTGGATACGGTGGATGATGAAGGGTTTCCCTCGGTGGATGAGATTGTCCCCCGCCCAGGGAGGGACGCGATCGACTTCATCATCGGCGGTGGAACGGAGCCGGAGGATATTTCTCCCGTTATAGGGGAGAGAGGGATCGCCGATTTGAGGGAACTATGGGGGATCCCCAGTTTCGTCGAGATACAACCGGCGGGGAGGGATGACCGAGTTCAATTCGACCGTCCTGGTTTTTGTATATTCTATGCCTATCCCTTCATTGTGGGGTACACGCTCCCGCTTCCTATGCTAGTGGTGGATTTCTGCCATTACTATGAGGTATGCCCTGCTCAGCTTTCTCCTTACCTGTACAAGTTGTTCCTCATGCTACTCAAATACGCGGAGCTTGTCGGTCGTGAGGTCACTTTGGGCCATGTGCTCAGCCTTTTTGCCCCCCTATTGATTCGAGGCTCGATGATTCATGCGCGTCCTCGGGGATCGAAGGGCCTAGTAGTGGGGATGGATGATAGAACCAATCGTCGCTTTTATGAGAATTTTTTCTACGTGCGGACCGAACATATTGTGGCGAACCCGACGGGGTTCCCTGAGAGATGGAATTTCCCCCGTAAGTTTGCATCTCTGATTAATCGAAATGTTCGATTTGTCCTTTTCTTCTTCTTTCTTTCCTTTTTGTGAATACTGAACTGCCTTATTATTCCGTGGCCGAGAAGTTGCCCCCGTCACCTCTTGAAGGGATTCGTGAATGGGTGGAGGCCATCCTTCCCCACACAGCGGGGGTTCGCACCTGGTCGACTTTTCATGAGAGATTTGGACGTAGACCCCTTACAAGTGAGATGACGTCCCTTTTTATTATTCTATTTCTTTATTCGTTTTTCGTTTTACCTCTTATACCTCGTTTGTCGCTATCATGGAGAGTGCGGAGAACCGGGGCCCCTCAATTAGCCTGGCGTCAAACGGCTGCGACCGCTCGTCTTGTTGCGACGCCTGCTAGTCGTCCTTCGTCGAGGGCAGCTTCGGTCGAGTCTGCGGCCCTAGTTACTCCAGCAAGGCCTGCCTCTCAAGACGAGGTCCCGTCCAGTACCGTTCGTCCTACGAATGAATCACCATCGACTGGGGAAGAGGAGGGACCGCCGAAGAGACGAAGGGTGGAGTTTGAGATGGCGCCTCCGACAGTGATTATCCTGGACGAATCTCCCCCGACGGGCTCGGGTGGAAGTGTTGCTGCGGTGTCTCCTGTAGAGACGGGGCGAGTCGTCGAGACTGGCGCCGGGGGTGAGTGCCTGGGGACGGCGGTTGCCGCAACGGCTCAGCCAGAAGTCCCCTTTGTTACTGATGGTCAACACCCCGTTGGAGCAGAGAACCAGACCTCTGGTGCAGCTATTGTGACTTCGGATGTGCCCTCTTCTTCCGCAGCGGGTCGTGCTCCTCCTTCAGCAGTAGAGAGGGGAAAAGGCGTGATGATTGACGAATACGAATCTGAGTCAGACCTGGATCCTGATGACGTTAGGATGTTTGAGGAAGGCATTACTCATTCGGTGGTCCATGCGGGGGGATCGGCTCGCATTCTCCAGATTCCTTCCGACGTTAACCTCTTGGTAGAGGGGGATAATTTGGTTCCGCAATTTAGCCTGCTATGTTCG